AACAAGAGCGAAAAAAAAAAAAAAAAAAAAAAGCGAATCATCTCGTGGCCTACTTTCGGCATGGGTAAAACGAGTGTGAATCTTCCGCTAGAACATGGAAAGATACACCGGCATGAGGTTTGTCCACTGTGCATGTGGAGGCCCGAAACGCTGTGGCGCCCGCAGCCACGGCGAGATGTCAGACGAAAGGGCCTCGCTGCACTATTCTCGATATGCACTAAAAACAAAAATCATGGCCGTGTACCTCTCCATATTCTTGCGGAAAATTCAGTCTCGTTTTGCGCATTTCGAGAGTAGTGCAGCGAGGCCCTGAATCTTTTGCTAGAAAATGGAAAGATGCTCGGGCACATTGTTTTTCTTTTGTGCTCGTTGTAGGTTTTTGAACAGACTGGCCCCAACTTGGAAAGTCGCTATACGTTGCTGAAACAGCGGACCGCCACTTCGAAATGCTTCTTTTTTTTATAAACATTTTTTTTTTTTTTTTTTAAATGCTTCTCAAAAAAAAAAAAAAAAAACTTCCTTTTTTTACGGGCGTTGTACACACTGGCACGTTTCAGACCCCTCCACAGGTCGTGGAAGTCCCTGCTACCGGTAGGTCAGCCGCCTGTTCCAAAAATCGCCCTACCGGTCCCCCCTACTTTAGGCTGCGGGGGGGAGCGGTGGTTTAAACCCTGTCATTGAAAACAGGCATGGGGATAGTCCAGGGCGGCGTCTATGCCAGGTCCGTGCAAACAATTTGTCGTCTGTTCATGAATACAGCATGTGGGGCCTACCTCCCTACCTCCCTCCTTTCTCTCTATCCCTCGTCTCTCTTTCCCTCCCTGCCTGCCTGCTTCTGCCTCTATCTACTGTCCGGCCACAACCTACCCACAAAATGGTGAAGAACAATGATTTCCAAAATAGATAATCGCTCAGCGGCACCACAACTCACCTGTTGTGCCGCTGTACATGACCCATGCAAGGACCAGTTGTAGTACTCGGCTTCCGCCAACATTCCGAATGCATATGGACTGCAGTTTGTCCACATGCATTCGAAATGCTGGCGGTTGGCGAGTGCTGCCCACATGCATTCGATGTTCAGTCCGGTACTCAGCAGTGCAATTGCCTGAGGACTGAGCTGAGAATCGAAGTCCGAGTCAGGAATGCTGGAAAACGGGCGCCCACTGCAGAGGGCGACAACAGGCAGGAAGCGAAGAACAGGAAAACAGAAAGGGTCCGCTCAGATTTAAGTGCGAAAATGAAGGCTGTGTTTGCCATTGCATTGTCAGAAATGAAAAAAAAAAAAAAAAAAAGAATGAAAACTCATGGGGGTCGGCGCGTTGGGGTGTGCGATTTCCACAGTGGCCACAAAGCACCTGAGAGAGAGAGAGAGAGAGAGAGAGAGAGAGAGAGAGAGAGAGAGAGAGAGAGAGAATTGATGTCGTTCTAAGGACTGCTTATGTTTGTTTGACTGTGAGGTGAGAGAACTGCAATACACACACATCTGTGATGCTGCATCACAGAGCGATGGGGAAATGGAGAATGGAAAGAAAAAGGTACAGCAAAACATGTTGCAAATAGTATCTCATCCATTGCCCGAAAAACGATCATAACAGCAATTCAAAAACAGTTTATCCCTCAACATCTATCCGCTAAAGGTCCAACTCGGCACAAGGCGGAAGAACACGCCGGATCCACAAGCCACTGACATTTGTCCAAAAAAAAGGAAACGACAACTATCGACAACGACGACGACGGTCGCCCCTACAAAAACTTTAGTGTCTGACGGGAATCGAAAAGAAAAAAAAAAAACCGCAAACTGAGTACTTCCAAACCAGGGATGGCACTGCAAAACATAAGACATCGCAAACATGTCCACGGTCGTGACACTGCCAGGCGTGTAGCCTCTTGCCACCCAATGACAAAAATATGACGAACGAACAACAACACTCATGACGAGTACACAAACCCGTACCAAAAACTGCTAAGGGGTGATTTGCCACCCGGCAGGAGGCAGTTCATTCGGCACCGAGCTGGCACAAGCAAAAGCTAAAAAAGGAAAAAAAATAAAAATAAACCAAAGATTTCGCTGTGCTCAAGCGCGGAGAAGGAACGGAGGTGCAGGGCCGTGCCGAGCTCGGGAGAACAAGCTGGCAACCAAGGACTTCAAAAACCGGACCCCGACATATGGTCTTCCTCGATCGCCATCGCCCTGCGCAGTTGGTCAGCAACCGCAGTGACATCCCGCATGTTCACGTTAGCTGAACTGTCGTTAGGTGAAGTCCGGATGCAGGCGGGCGGTGTGGCCACGCGCCTGCGTGGCAGGGAACGGGGAGCACTCTCGCGGGGCGAGTGGGAAACAGACACGACAACACTCGAAACGGCCCCGGAATGCTTGCTGCAGGGGCTGGACAATGTACTAACGAAATTATCTGTGCCACGCACAGATTCCCCTTCGCCGACGGCTGCCAACAGTTGTTGCAGTCGCTGGACCTCCTCGCGCAGCACCCCCACCTTCTCTTCAACGACCTCTGCTATCGACAATGCCATCGCCTCACGTGTGTTGGAACTCTCAACCTCCCCCTGCAACCTTTTTATCTCGTCGACCATACCGGATATGTGTGTGAAAAGCACACCCCTTTTCCTGGCCAGCTCGTGGGCCTGCTCGATCAGACGTATGTGGGTCAGTGCAAAGTCACCTGCCATGTCCACAACGTCTTTGACTTCGCGTAAGGGCGTCGAGGACATGATGCGGTCGCGGAGAGGCGTGGATGGCCTTCACGTTCCCTGCACCCATGCCACCAGCCCACCACACACACACGCACGATGTCATTAGATGACATTCAACACCCTCGTTCGCACAACCCCGCCCCCCCCCAAAAAAAAAAATGCATGAAAAGTTGACGCTCGCTTAATTGGAAACCAAGAAGGCACTCGCCGCTCTATCATCAGCCTCCGCAGTGCATGAATGGCACCGGGCGTTCATGTCGAACCGGCCCGTCCGTGATTGCTCCTTCGTTATTTGCGGTCCGTTGTGCGCAGGTCGTCCCGACAGTGCCCCGGACAACATCGTGAAACATTGGAGAAGCGTGGCATTGCCCTGTGCGAGGGTGTTGTTGATGCCATCCATGGCATTTGCAAAAGCCCCTGCCAATTTCTCCGCCTGTCTGTCATTCGATTCCACCAATGAATGTGCCACATCAGCGAAAGCCCCCCCCCAGTTCACTTCCGCTGATGACTGGGATCGGCTCCGGCGAGCGCTTCCACCACCCCCCGCCGTACGTGCACTCTTCGACCCTTCACCGCTGTAACTCCCATCGCGCCTTCGCGAAGCGGGGCTGCCACTCCGACCACCTGTGTCATCATCGTCTGTCACAACACTCGACCATCCTTCATTGTACTGAACGGAATTCATAAGCCCTTCACAAGACCCCTCCGCCTTCCGCAATTTCCACCGCAGAGCATCGAACAACTGTTTGTCGAACGACACAGGCAACCCCTCCTTCTTTTTGGACACCCGATCCATGTTCATAGATCCGTTCACCGGATCTATTGTGAAAGTCACGGATCCTCTTTCCGCAGTCGAGCAGGTTGTAGAACTTGCGTTCACACTCTTCAACGCTGCGGGCCTCGAACCCTTTCTCGACGAGCTTGGTAATGATCCACTCGTACCTCTCCCTCCTTGTGCACATTTTCTGTCTTCCTTTCCTCTTCTCTTGCAGAGCGTCTTCCTCAAATAGGTAAGTGAGCAGCCCCACGCTCTCGTCTGTGCTCCAATCAGGAGAATGGGGCTTGCCTTTTGCTGCAGGTTCTCCACCTAAACCATCTCCGCCTGGCGGTGCACGATTCCTGGCTGTGGTTGCAGGTTCACCCTCACCGCCCCCTACGCCCGCCGCTGCACGGCCCTTTGCCTTTGCAGCAGGCTCACCATCACCCCCCCCTCCAACCGCAGGTGCACATCGGAGGCTGCCGTCAATGCTGGACACGTCAGAACGCCCGCGCACACTAAACTCCCCATCCGAACCGGCGCTGGAGCACCCTCCGTACTGGGTGCCAGAAATGTCCGCCACACCACCCATCCACGCATCCCCTGCAGTGAAATCTGCATTCCCATGAACTCCTTCAAGACCTCCATGTGATGGTGGGCCCATGCCCTTGCCGCCCAGGCTCCTCGAAGACGGGAACCGCGACGCGGGCTGCATGTCCGACCCACAGTCGCTGCACTGCAACATAGTCGAGTACGGTCCCAGTTTGCAGTCAACTGCCAGCGACCCTTGGGCAAGTGACGGTTCTGATTCCACATCCATGGACAGCGTTCCCTTGCTTCCCACCACCCCGTCGAGCCGTGGTTATTGACGTTGGCCACCGACGCCTGCAGTCGGGCCACTGAATCACACGCAGTTCTGCCCATCCTGCGGCATTTCCCATCGGGTACTCCCTGGAACAGCAGACGCTCGCGGACTGAAGCACATCGTACCACCCTGCCCGCCTTCCACCTGGCTGCTCCACGACAACCCACCTAAAGCCGATGGCGGTCGCGTGCTCCCGGGAACACTGGACGCTCGCTCAGGAAAGCACGTCACACCGCCTTGCCCGCCTTCCACGTGGCTGCTCCACGTGGACCCAGCCGGGGTAGATGGCGGGAAAGCGGGCGCCTTCTTCCATTTCGGCAAAGGCGGCAATTCCCACCTGCAAGGACGAGCTTGGCTCGGCCATGTTGCCGCCGCGCCGAAAGCAGACGCGCCATCGTTCGCCGGTCCTTCATGGTGGGACAATGCCAGCTGCGTGTCCTGCATTGCACCTTCCGTAGATGACGCGGGCAACGATGAGAACCGGAGGGAATTGCCCTGCACGGTCCGCTCCATACGACCTTGGTGGACAACGCAGATGTATCGTAATGTGTTCGACGCCCACAGTGCTCCGGCGGCAGTGCAGGTGACACCCGAGAGAGAGAGAGAGAGAGAGAGAGAGAGAGAGAGAGAGAGAGAGAGAGAGAGAGAGAGAGAGAGAGAGAGAGAGAG